CCCCCCCCCCCCCCCAACGGGCTTTGAATTTCTTTTCTGAAGGTTACCAACTCTCTCCCTATAAATCAGCCGGCAACTTTCCCAGGCGAGAGAGAGAGAGAGATAGATTTTTTTGCTAATTTTCCTAGAAATTTAAGAGACGTAAAAACTTATAGCAGCCTTACGAGATTGTACTCACTGTGTGTCTTGTGTATGCGTGTGTTTAACTTTTTGTATTCTTTAAACAAATTTGAAAGCATGACTAAAATGATTATTGTTAATATCACTAGCTTTGGTATTATTTTTTGTATGCTGTTTTTCAGCCCTTTGTTATGTTTTGTTTAACTGACGAAGCCAACAAATAAAACAAAAAAGAAGAAGAAAAATCCACTAAAATGGTTTGATGAAAAACCACAACCCACACCCCCCCCCCCCATACTGGGTTAGTTTTATTTTGTGCCGCACACAGTTGCTTTGTAAATCATTCGACTTTCCCTTTTTTCCCGTGTGTTTCTGGGTGAGTGGCAAAATATTTCAGTCGGCCAAGTCACCCACAGTCCGTCAACATGGCATATAGATTTGTTGAAGATGACAACACATTTCTATCCAATTTTCAGCCCCCAACATCAGTTTTTCCTGTGCCTCAAGTGGAAGATGAAGGAAATATGATTACACCGATATCACCGAAATAACATTCCCGGTGACTGCGCTAAATGAGATTCTTTAAAAATTATCGCTAGTGCGTTTGGTACGTAATAGTCTTTAGTTTTTCTGAAATTATTCGTGAAATAAATCTGCGATTTAAAAGCGGGCGGGTCATTAGAATATTAATATAAAATTTAAAAAATAAAAAATTTCAGATAAAGGATTTTTTCGAAAAAATTTGTTTTTAGGGGTAGTTTAATTGTGTCATATTTTGTAGGCCCACTTTGATAATAAAGACTCAATTGGACTGAAATGATTGTACGTCAAAGTTTCAACAAATTTCTGGTCATCTTTAAACTTAAACAGTTCAGGAAAATTGACGAATCTGTAACCTTGGGTCTGTAATGTCCGCATGTGTAGTCAAATGTTGCAGAATCACAGATAGACAGCCTTCAGGTCGGCCAGAGGTAGCAGAGGCCCTGGTGAAACAAAGTACACCTCGTCCTCGTAGTGTACAAGAATGCCCAGGGTACCGTCAGAGAGAATCTCCCAGAAGAAATCCGTTAGAATCATAAAGTTTCCTGGAATCAGGCACACCTCTATAGGGAAGGATGCATTGGCATTTTCTATCATCATGTCACGAAAGTAGAATATGGAAGTCAGCTGTCCTTCCTCATCCTTAAAGGCAGTGTAAGAAATAAATAATTATTATTAATAAATGCAGTTCCGTAGTTTCTCAGTTTATACAATTTTATAACATCGCATAAGAAAGAAGTGGCGGGGTTAATTTGGTTTTGAATGCTACGATTTTACAAGTAAAAAAAAATATATATATATATATATTATATATATATAATACACATTACAATTCATCACATAGTCCTGTATTTTTAAATTATATTTATTGGTGTTGCTGTTAACTTCCAACACTGCTTGTAGTGATGTGTCTTCTAATTCCATAAAGGCTTTTCCCTAACAGTACTATGTCATCAGCATATGCAAGATACTGAAGGGAAGATTGTAGAGAGTGCCCATTGGTGGTGGGTCTTGGGTTTCCTTCAGAAAGTATCATGTTATTGTTCCTCGGGTGTCAATATATTAATTTCTTATAATTCTCTCTAATTTTAGGTTAAATAGCAGTTAATAGCATACAAGACAGTGATTTTCTAATCTGACATTTCCTCTGAAGATTCTCCTTGAAACTTGATTTTGGCTTTTGTGTTGTTCAATAATATTACGAGTATCAGTCCCGTCAGTTTGTTGGGTATGCCAAAATCTCATACAGATATTTTCTTTTGATGCTTTCATATTCCATTCTATATTGTCAACATACAGTTTGTGCACTGGCGTATTATATTCTTAACATTTTTTATGATGTCTGTCTGTATCCATATTTGGTAGTCACCTAGTATGTTCTCAGTTAACGACTGCAATTTATTGGGAAATTTACTTTTGTCAATATTTTGAATGTTACCTTTAATAGGGGAATGTCTCTGCAAACTCGTGCACTGACGTTCGGAAACTTGTTTTGTCTATTGGGGTTATTAGTGCCCTTTTCCCTTCTGTTGAAATTTTCTCTTCTGTTGAAATTTTCTCTTCTGTTGAAATTTTCCCTTCTGTTGAAATTTTCTCTTCTGTTGAAATTTTCCCTTCTGTTGAAATTTTCTCTTCTGTTGAAATGTTCTCTTCTGTTGAAATTTTCCCTTCTGTTGAAATTTTCCCTTCTGTTGAAATTTTCTCTTCTGTTGAAATTTTCTCTTCTGTTGAAATTTTCCCTTCTGGCCAAATTTGGCGAGTTTTCTTTTAATTTTGTATTTTCCATAAATAGAAATAACATTTACACAATAAACTTTAAACAGAAATCTGTATTATCTGTAAAGAGCACGCATTTCCCTTAAATTCCATACCATAACATTTTATCATACAAATATGCAATATATATGATTCCGTCGGAATGAGTAAAGTAATTCCCGAGACAACAAGTTAAATTTAATTAATTAGTTCAGTGGTTCTTAACCTGGGTTCGATCGAACCCCAGGGGTTCGGTGAGTCAGTCTCAGGGGTCCGGCGGAGGTAAAAAAAGAAATCAGGAAAAAAATCATATTTTATTTTTCCTATTAAGAAGGGTTCGGTAAATGCGCATATGAAACTGGTGGGGTTCGGAACCGCCAAAAAGGTTAAGAACCACTGAATTAGTTATTGAATTTACAAGGGGTAAAAACCCACTAAGTTTACAACAGGCATCCCACAACATGACCAAAAAAATAATAATAACTAGCGTTGGCTTATGTACGTTTTTAGTGCACTTGAAACTATAGAACGAATGTAACTATAAAATATTTTATACAATTATTTTTTGAGCCTTGCATTGAGTTTAAGGGAAAAAAATACATTTTACCAGCGCTGATTTGGTTTAGAGAGTGCTGTCTTTATTTAAAAAAAATACTCTCGCTTTTAAGTTCACCAAAATTCTAAAATGATTGTCAAATCTTTTTCGTTTCGCACCTAAGCCGCCTGGGAAGATTAGAGCGAGCGACGCCTTCAACACTGAAGACTTTAAAGAGTAAAAAAAAACAAAAAAAACTGTCAATATAGCAAAGGCCACGTCCACTCTGCATAAACAGAACAGGTCTGACATGAGCAGTGTCCGCGCCCCCCCCCCCCTTGTCAAAGTCATGTGACTTAACATGACTTCAACAGATCCATGATCGCGTGACTTACCATGACTTCAACAGATCCCAGAAAAGGATGGTGGAGCTTGCCTCTTATTTCCAGCATGATGGACTTCTTGGAGCCGCACCTCCTATCTGCATTATATGAACAACAGCTTTTACTAATATGTTTTACTAATGTGTTTTACTAGTATGTGTTACTAATATCTTTTAGTTTCATAGACACAATGATAAAAAAAGGCAGACTACGCTGGGCAGGACATTCCAGAATGTAGGGCAGCAAAAGTTATATACAGGCAGAAGCCTAGGGGCAGACGACTCACCGGTCGCCCAAGGCTGAGATGGATCGATGATGTGGAGATGGATTTACACCAGTTGGGGGTTCGCGCATGGAGGCGGAAAGCCATGGATCGCTCCGAATGGACGGATATGGAGCAGGCCAGGGCCCTACATGGGCTGTAGCGCCACTGATGATCATGAATATGTTTTAGTTTACATTTCAAAATATGCTTCCAGACAGCGAAATATGCGCTCGTATAACATTTTTCTTAAATTTTCATTTAAAACACTTACTATGTATAATCCCCCCTCCCCACCTTTTAAATTTTAACATGGGAGATCGTCATTATGCATGACGTATCTTTAGCACCTAAAGAGCCCAGGGTTTGCACCCCCTCCCCCTTTTTCTTCACAATTTAAGTTGTAGGGTCTGCTATATTTAACCAAACCAAACGCGTTTCTTTATTCAGTTTTATCATTTGTTATTCTTAAGAGAAGATCAGGGGCATAGCTAAGAGGGGGCAGATGTCCCCGGGCGCCAGACTAGTTAGGGGCGCCAAAATGTGCTTTGCTATTATTATATTGATGACAATAATGGGTTTGGAACTTGAAAAAAAAAAAAAGAAAAGAAAGGGAGGCGCTTTAAAATAAATCTTTTCCCCAGGCGCCCAACACTCGAGCTACGCCTCTGGAGAAGACAACCAACAACAGGCTTTTCTTTAAACCACAAGCTTACACTCTTCGTGTGACGGCACATGTCTTAATGCTGTGGACAATGGTTTCTTGAAATCATTCTCCATCGTGGACAACCATTTGACAGGGATTTTTCCCCTGGCTGCTAGAAATCTGCCCGCTCTCTCTGGAATGATAATGTGTTCTCTGTTATTTTAAAGAATAGTTCCAACCCACGCTTGAAAGACTGTTGGATAATTTATTAGAATCTATAATTATTTATGGCGAATGAGTAAGTGGGTAGATGACTGAGTGAGTAAGTGAGTGGGTAGATGAGTGAATGAGCGGTTAAGTTTATGGGCAGATGAGTGAATGATTGAGATATCGGGTAAACGAATGAAGGAGTAAGTGGGTATATGAGTGAGTAGATGAGTGAGTGAAAGGATTTGTGAATGAAAGAGTTGGTGGGTAGATGAATGAGTGGACTAAACCGGGTCAACCCCCAAGCTTGAGTAGACTGGATTTGCTGTCAGATAAACCAGCTTAATCTTCCTAAAGAATATACTCCGGTCTTGTGAGTTGGTAAATGAGTGAATGAGTGAGTGGGTAGATCAGTCAATGAGTTCCTGATTTTTTATTTATTTATTTTTTTTTTAAAAATAAAGTAAGCTAATGTTGTAGCATTTGTCGCTCCTGCTGGAAACACCCGTAGCTTAGTTAACGGTTGGATGTGACGATGTATGAATAGATGATGGTGGATGGATTTGGTGATGTCGTACATAAATGCTCTGGATTCTTACTGCAACTTGTCTTGTGGTTGCTGTAGTCATTCCTCTGACAGATTCTGTCACAATACCGCCCAGTTCTACATCGTAAACACTTGAGCATCGTCTCCTTTTTTGTGAGGCAGTATGAGCATTGCTCCAAATGTTCTTTTTCTTCTTTAGCCTCGCCTGGTCCAGGCAAGAGGTGGGTCCTGAGTGGTGCTTCATTTGCTACGTTTGTAGCGGGGGGATGAAACGCCACATTTGAATCTACGGTGACTCTGTGTTCTGTGTTGTTCTGAACGGAAGAGACAGTTTCTTGCACACCGCCAGTGTCTTGTTTGCACGGATCAGTCTCCTTCAAAATTAACCCTGATTGTCCTAAGTAGGAAAACGAAATGAAATATTTTAAAATCAATTTTTCTGCCAAGATTTACACGAAAATTTCACATTTCTTTTTCTGAAATTTAATAAATTTAAAAAAAAATTGTATTGAAAGCTTAGATGAGATGATCATTTTAACAAATTTTCGGTTTCTTAAATTTATCTTTTGATGGCCCTTCAATATGGAGGTTTTAAATAAAAGATTTCGACCTAGACTAAAGCCTAACCTTTATTGACACGGTCGGACACTGAATTGTGTGAATATCTCCTCTTTTCTGACACTCTAAAATAAACAGTTTTGCTTGTTTCTCTTTCATTGTTTACATTTTTCTTCGGTGGCGCAATTTTGTTTAAAGGCGCATATTCTTTCTCCGAATGTATTGGCGTTGTGGAATTATTTAAAGTCCCCGATTCGCCCTGTGACGACAATGGCGCAATCCTCCCAGCGTGTCCAAAATCTTTCTCAGGCCAAGCGTCCATATCACGGAGCACAGTCTGACTTAAGTCCTCAACAGATGCTTTGCTTCCGAAGCCATCAATGTCAGCATGTTCTGCGCCACACATAAACCCCTGGGAGCATGCTTCGTCTTTCTCTACCCCCGAGATATCAATTGGATCGTGCGCTTGGGGACATCTACACACTGTGGTGTCCCGTGTGAAAGATCTGTCTCCAACCCATGCCAAGTTCTTCTGTTTATATGTAGCGTGAAGGATATCTGCAAACATGGTATTTGGTCGGACGATGTAACCATCCTTGTCTAGACAGCGAGCTCGCGATAAGACCTCGTCCATGACCTTGGCCTCGCCTAGAGTAAAATGGCGACTCATCCCACCAGTCAATGCGAACTCAAGGCTTCGTCGTGAAAGAAGGTCATCTCTCCCTGGTTGCAAACACTCAATTGAAGAATACCTGAGGAAAAGAAGAATTAATCTTACACATGAAACAATTTCTTTGTTTCTTTCCTTCAATCTATTATTATGATGAAAAAGACATTTTGAGAAGCCTGACTGTTTTTATTTTTCAAAAACGAAATATCCTTTGAGGTCCGAACAAATTACAATTGATTAGCTTCAGAGCTTTGTGCTACATCAAACGAAGATGAATTTGAAAGCCTATGTACACTCTCAAAAGTTCTCGCAGAAAAGTTCCTTCAAGTTTTTACGGTAAGTGTGTATTTTTATTATTTTTAAGCATTAAAAAAAAAAGGACAATGAGTTTTCCCTTTTTGCTCCTGACTAGAGATTCAATTATTTGATGCTGGCGTTATTTTAATGAGGTTGCGTAGTGTCCCGAATGGACACCTCCGTACCCCCCCCCCCCAAATTCAAACCACCGGGGCGAGACGAGTCGAAAGAAAAGTCTAGAACAGCGGTTCTCAACCTTCCTAATGCTCCGACCCTTTAATACAGTTCCTCATGTTGTGTCGACCCCCCNCCCCCTGGAAAGGGACAAAAGGTCCCCCCCCCCCCCCCCCCCCCAAAGGGTCGTGACCCACAGGCTGAGAACCGCTGGCTTAGAAGATATATATTAAGGGATTTCCCCGATGACAAAATTCCACTAAGCTTGAACTTTCGAAGAAAATAAAACGTTTATTTTTGTTGTGGACCATTTGTTCTCCATGAGAAAATCAAAATACCGGCCGATGCATACGAGATATTTCTTTGAACAAAAAAATGTATGTTAAATCAGTTAATTTATTTCAAAAAGGCTACTGTACTGCTAATAAACTCAAACTATTCACTCTGCTGTTGTGGGTAATACCGAGATGGTGCTTAGCTAAATCCATGTAGCTGTTTGCAACTGTCACTGCCACATCATCCACAAAGAGAGACTTATCAAGTCCACTTGACACAACTAAGCACTATATTGAAACGAAACTGCATTCACATCATAAAGAATCATTTAAATAATAATATCATCTACAGTATGGGATATATATAAATGTATTCTTTTCTTGCATTAATTAGATATACCTGCTTTCATCCTCACATATTTCGTAACCTATTGGATAGAAGTATCATAACAAGACCTTTCAACGTTGTCCGTGACATCATTACTTGTGTGCGTCTCAAATGATTCTATTCAATTAGCATGCACAACATCACACTTGTACAGAAACTATATATATATATATATATATATATATATACCCCGACTGTTGGGCACCATCAGCGCAATAATTAAAATATTTTAGCAGTCTTTCTTTCCCTAAATGCCCATCTGACACCATGTTGTCATTCAGACATTCCGTGATCATCCAATGATCGCGGCTTCAACATTTACAATTATGATACGTCTATAAATACTATCACTGTCGTGTTTCTATTACAACCAAAAAAAACAAAAACAACAACAACAAAAGACATTTTAAAATACTACACTTTTCATGATGTGTTGTACAAGTATCTTAAAGACACACACTCAATAGACTGATAGCATTCTGCGGTTGAAAAGAATTGAAGATTAAACTCTTCACACTCCTGTACTTGAATTAAATCTATGTTTTGAATTGAAATTCTGTTTACCTGTGTCCAAACTGTATGTTTTAATGTGTAAACTGTTGCTAGCTACACATCCAATCAAGACGAGGCTGGCCGTTCCATTGTAATGTTTTGTTTTTTTCACATATCAAGTCCAACTAAATAACACAGATTTTGAGTCCATGGTTCTCACAATTTGTTTTTACTCCACTTTGTTTATGAAATGAAAGTGTGTCTGTTCTAAAACAACAACGGTCGACCTTGAAACATGAACACAGCCACAATGACTGAATGCGGAAGGAAAATGCTGGAATCTAGTTGCGTCATCGTCTGACGTAGTGGGTAGCTGGTTTTGGTTGGCGGGGGTAGTCCTACGTCTACATTTACAATCTAAGTCTTGTTTGAAGCTATAAAGCAGTCCCACTTGACCTAGTTTATTAATAAATATTTTTTTATTTAATTAATTTATTTATTTTCGGTCGGTTGGGGGGGGGGGGGGTGGTGGTTTGGTTTGAAATTATTGAATGTTCAGAGTCCGTAAAAAAAAACAAATTCCACTAACGAAGTGTTAACATTCAATATTTCCATTAGTAAATCGATTAAAGACAATCAGAAGGAAGTTTCGACTGTCAGCCTCCTTTAAAAGAACAACACTTCCGGTCAACTAAGCTAAGTTGTGATTTTATTCTATGTTCTCTTTATTGATTTTTGTTGATACAAGGCCGTCACCCTGAAATGCGTCCTGATTATCTTCGGTTGTCATTCAGGCTTTCATAGACCATGTTCTTATTGTTTCATAAGATGGATAACTCAAGCGGGATGGAACAACAAGAATCAACGATTGATTGCATTGGGCAAATTGAACCTCTCATTTATTGGGGATTGCTTTCTGATCTGTTCTAAAGGAAATGCATCCACTTTGCAGACACACCTTTAAACAGACAAAAAGACAAACAACCAAACAGACCTGAGATGGAAACGGACTGCAAAATTGTTTCAACCCACAGGAATTTCTTAACAGTCTGGACATTTTAATGATAATGTCACATTCACAAGAAAAGAATAAAAGACACAGGCACACGGACAGAGAGTAAGAGATAGAGATTTTAGCGGCAATCGACCTTAGCCCTTGTCGGGCAGTCGATAACTTGTTAAAAAAAATATGCAAAGGGAAGCAATGACACTAACAAAAAAAGTTTCACCCCCCCCCCCCAAAAAAAAAAAAAAAAATAAAAAAACACCCCTAATAAAAAAAAAAAA